ACCCTGGGCCGCCTAATGCTCAACGCCAATGCCTTATCACTGCCCCACACCTCATGCGAAGCACCAATGGCTACTGCGAAGAACCAATGAAGCGCAATATGAACCAGCTCCGATACCAAATTGCAAGGAAAATAAGCAACAGCGAGATGACAATTCCAGGTTACACCATCACATTGAAAGCCAGATAGTCACACTGTGTCTAGAGAGCAGCATTGCACCAATAATACACCAATGGAGGGTCATGGTACTGAAAACCAATGTCATGGAGAGCACACTCTCTCCTCATCAACACAAGAGTCCAGTCCCTTCACTCTCCTACTTGGCGCTCAGCGCCCAGCCTACTCCTAACACAGCTACTACAGCCTACTAATTGACAATGCAACTGTTGACATCAGCAGCAACCCGAAGTACTTGAAGATGTCGCCCATGCAGACCATCGCCAATACAAGGTAAGTGCCCTCACATCATCATCATCATCATCCTTCACCTATCCCCTGACTTTACTCCCACGTCTGTCCTCTCTTACACTCGAAGACCACCCCTGCGCCTCATTGTACATCCAAGCCCAGCCTGCTATGAAGGCTGGCTATGGCGCTGCCCTCAGCAGCGCCCTGCTTCACCACACGACCGCACGTGCGCAACCTCTTGCTCCCAATGCCAGCAGCCAGCCCACGAGCTATCACTCCAGCAGCGCTGCCGCCAGCCAGCAAGTGACCGAATGCCCCCCCAAGAGGAGAGCTCTTCCCTATATGGAAAGAGTCGGCCTGCTCGTGCAGCCTGGCTGGACTGGCCTGGGCCCGGAAGCTTCCGGAAGGCCCCAGGAGGCTGCCTGTGTACAGCAGCTACTGGGCTGATGGGCCTCATTCAGTTGGGCGCCCAACTGTCTCTGTATGAGGCTGCGAATCACACCCAGCGCCTGCATTCTTTGGAAAAGCCCGGAGGGCCGTGGAAATGTCTTTGTTGCCCGGCCTAAGTTTCTCTCAACCAACTGGCGCGTCGCAACTGCCTGGACCCCAAATATGAAATTGACAGTCGAGGGCCTCTTGCGATATGTTAGGCCCGCCTTCACTTAGGGCGGGCACCTCCGCCTTCACTTAGGGCGGGCAATGCTGCAAACAGGGCCCCTTCGGCCTAACGAGGACCCTGATCCTTGCAATACTATCTTTGGAAACATTGAGTTGGCGTCATCTTCCCTCTCCTCCTCCCTTCGTCTCTCTCCTCCCTCCATTCGTCCGTGGATGATCTCAGACCCTGGCCAAGGCCAGGGCTCTCACACCCCTGATGAATGATTGAGAGTGTTCGATTGCAGTCCGAGTCAGGTCAGAGTCAGTCAATGTATCTCAAGTCTTCCGCTGTATTTATATTTACTCTATATTATCTGGTCGGTTCTGGGAATCTGCGCCATACCTATGACTGTGTTTCACGAGTATGCAACACTTTGGTATCGGAGCAGACCAGCATTGGATGACTCACCATTGATTGATTGATTGATTGATTTATTGATTGATTGATTGATTGATTGATTGATTGATTTATTGATTGATTGATTGATTGATTGATTGATTATCTACACCTGCACTCTGTTATCAGTAAATCGCAAGTTGCAATTTTTTTTTCTTTTTCTCGTACTTACATAGTAATTAGGTCGTTAAATTATAAGTTTAGGTTTTGCGACTTTTCTCCATATTGCGCAAATTAGGAAATCGCTAATTACGAGCAACCTAATTAGCGCTAATTAGGGTTAGTCCTAACCTAATCTAAACGGCCTATCAACCGATGGGAAGTAAGTGCCAGCCAGGCACCGCGCCAGTTAAGGCAGATCGGGCCTGAGTACGGCCACATTCAAACTGCAACTTCACTGAGCTTTCACTTTTTGCAAAATGCATCTTTTATTGCGTTGAAAGGTTAAATCTTTCGAGCATATTTTGTATCTTCCTATTACCATTCATCTTCTACTTACTTAGTGACCTCGTGATGATGCTAAATTCCCTCGATTAAATTTCGTGAAATTATTAAAGTGTGAGGATTGAGCCCTCAAGTAGGGGCCTTGCCATGATGTACATGTTCTGGGCTAAGGCCCCAGCAAGCCTCGTGCCCGCCCTAAGTGAAGGCGGGCCAGCAAATCAACAAGAGCCCTCTGTGCAAACATTTCCCGAAGTGGGGTCCATACAGTTGCAGCATGGCAGTTGGTTGGAGTGCACCGAGTCTCGGATCTCTGCAAATGTGGAAATCCCAGGGCCTCTGAGTTAGTTAGGCCTTGGGCACTTGAACGTGAGGCCGACAATGCATGCTGGATAGAGAGGCCAAAAATGCCAAAGGGAAATCGGCCACTATCTGAATCTGGTCGCAGGCCTTGATGAAAGAGGCGCAACTGCATTGCCCCGGGCCTCAACTGTATCGGGCTGAGTTCAGCCACTGGGGCCCGGACGCAGGCTGAAGGGAGGCCGCCCACACGCAGCACTGGCATATAGGCAAGCAGGGCGAGTGGGCAGGGATCTTGGCCATTGCAGGCAATGCCGGCACGCTGCGCTAATGCGAGCTGCTGGCTGCTGCGCTGCGCTAAGACAGAGTGCAAGGCAGGCATGCGCTAGGCGGTAGGGCATTGCCTATGCACTGGGCGCTTGGCGGCCATAGCCGGGCTGCAGAGAACGTAGGGGAGGTGAGGGCGAAGGTGGTTCTTCGGAGGTGAAGGGCGCTGTGTGGGTAACAAGGGAGAGTGTGGGTGAAGAGGACACGTACCTGGTGGAGGTGGAGGTCGGCATTGGTGTTGACATCATCACTCGCTGGTAGTCAAGTTGTCTGCTTGCTTTCATTGCTGTGGTTGTAGGCTAGGCTGTAGAGTAGATAGGGCGCCTGACGCCATTCACAAGAGAGAGCTACATTGGGTTATGCTGTTGGTGTTGCCCTGTTGGGCTTGGACATTGACTCACGATTCTTCTGTATCATTCTCAA